GGGTTTTCTTTACTCCGAGGTGTCCACTGTATTTACTGGCATGCACTTCTTGTAAGATGGCATTCCGCAGGTTCCCCACATGTGGTACAACAATTTCTTTTCCATGCCACCAGAGCTCATGCTCCCACGAGAGATCCTTCGTATTCTGTGGGTTCTGAAACCAGGAATCAATCTGATAGCCTGTGCGGATTCGTTTCAGAAAACCACTGAAGGTGATCTCACTCACTCGGGCGACAGCGAGGATACCAAAGTAAGCTGCAAAGACGGCAGCATGTTCGGTGTCCTCTAGCCCGTTTGCTGCCCCTATCGGCTGTCTGCTGAGGGGATCAGCCATGTTCGTCGAGCCTGCCCGATATCGAATATCGTAGGTGAATCCACTAAGGAGTTCAGCCCATCGGGCTTGGCGACGAGTGAGGGTGGCTTGGCTGGAAAAGTAGGTGTTTGGACAATGATCAGTTGTGACAACAAAGTCCACACCTTCCAAGTAACATCGCCATGTTCGTAGCACATGGACGACTGCCAACAGTTCTTGTTCGGAAGTCGTATAGCGCTGCTCTGCCGGGGAGAGCTTTCTACTCTCGTATGCCACAGGGCGTCCTTCTTGCAGGAGGACTGCGCCAATCCCTACTGTTGAGGCGTCTGTGACTACCTCGTAGGGTTTTGTTGGATCTGGTAATACCAGAACGGGAGCATTGGTCAACTTTTGTTTGACCGCTTCAAATGCCTCTTGGCATTGTCTGGTCCATTCCCACGCAGTACCTTTTCGAGTAAGTGCGGTCAATGGGGCAACGATGGTTGAATAATTCTCCAAGAAACGGCGAAAATAGCTGGCTAAGCCCAGAAAGGACCTGACTTGACCCACGTCCTGTGGAACGGGCCAGTTCTCAACAGCCGCCACTTTCTTGGGATCGACTTTCAATCCACTGTTCCCCACGAGATGTCCCAGATATTATAATTCGCGCTTATAGAAGTGACACTTCCACAAGCGAGCATAGAATTTGTGCTCTCGTAGTTTGTTTAACACCCATTTTAGGTGTTCTGTGTGCTCCTGTTCGGTCTTGGAATAGACCAGTATATCGTCGAGGTAAACCAAGACGAACTGGCCGATTGCCTCACGAAAGGCATCATACATCGCCCTCTGAAAAGAGGCCGGTGCATTGGTCAGACCGAAGCTCAGCACACGCCATTGAAAATGCCCAAACGGCGTGCGAAACGCTGTTTTGGGTACATCGTCGTTAGTGATGCGCAACTGATGGTACCCCTGTGCGAGGTCCAATGCGCTAAACCATTGGGCACCCTGGAGGCGATCAAACAGATCCTCAATGCGAGGCAGCGGATATCTGTTCTTAATTGTGATCTTGTTTAAGGCGCGATAGTCGACGCACATGCGTAGACCGCCGCCCTTCTTGTTGACAAACAAGATTGGTGCTCCGTATGGTGATGCGCTTGGTTCAATCCATCCCTTTTTCAGATAATCCTCGATTTGTTGCTTAGCCTCTTCGTACTCAGCTGGACTGAGGCGATACAGAGGTCTAAATGGTGGTGCCTTTCCAGGCTCCACTGGAATGGTATGACCCACAGCGCGGTCTGGGGGGAGTCCATCAGGAATTGGTTCGAAAACCTCCTTGAATTCCTCCGTCAGAGCCTTCATCTGAGGAGGAAAATCCACGATCTCAGGAGACGATTGCGTGGTTTCCTCTAGCTGTACAACAAAGAGTGTATCAGCTGATTTTGCATCTTGCCCAAATTGACTCGCAAGGGCGAACTGAACGTCGGGGCGATCGGAATATGGGGCATCAACAATGTTTACATCCCCCGCAACATGCCACCGAACCACAACACCATTCTTAGTGAAAGTTACTGTGTTGTGCTGAAAGTCAAGGATGACCTCATTGGCTCGAAGCCAGTCCATTCCGAGAACAAGGTCTACGCCTGCCAGTAATGGGAGGACGCAAACGTTAATGGTCTCGTTATAGCCTTGAATTTCCATATTGATACGTTTCTGCCCTTTGCTTGGGATGACTCGATCGTCACCAAGACGAATGGGGCAAGACGGCCCTTCAACGAGGACCCCACGACTTGTGGCTCTGCTTTCATCGAAAAGAGAAACAGTCGCGCCCGTATCAACAAGAATCTTTGCTTCATCCCCGTCTACTCGACCCACCAGCAATAGGTTTTGTTGATGTTTTGGTCGAATGGGGCATGCAACGATGCGAGTTGGTGGGAGATAGTATGCCTTGACATTGTGCTTTGCTCGACCATAGGAGCGAGTGTCAGGCCACCACATGTGATATCCCTTGTCCCACGCGGCAAGTACCGTCCATCCCTTAAGCATGAGGAAGTGTTTGCCTTTGATTGTTCGAGTCACCAGACTGACCGAAGTCAATGGGTGTTCCTGGGTGAAACGACCCACCAGTTCCATTACGGAGGACAATGCATCTACGTTGCAGCAGATGACAGAGAGCTTATCTCTCAGTGTTTCGATAGATAGTTGTGTAAGTGGGTGCAATCGAGGTAGGAAAACAGAATTTTCACTCAAAGAAGAAGCAAACAAACAAGAGATTTTGCACTCAGCAAGTTTCTCTAGCTTTAATAGATCATCGTCACGAAGGGCGTAAGCTTCATCACCTCGATCTACCTGTCCAGCTAGGTACCCACACCCTAGTTGGACTTGTGAAAATCCTGGCGCGAGCCTGAAGGTCCATCTCCCTTCTTGTTCGCCTGCTGCGGCTTGCCAGAATCCTCAGACCTTTTCAGCGTACGGCACTGCCCCTTCGTATGGCCAAACTTCTTGCAGTAGGTGCAGAAAGGAGTTCCGTTCCTCTGCTGGCCACCCTTGTGAAAAGGCTTCTTAGGCTGTGGCCCATTCTGCTGGCTCTGCGGCTGGAATGGCCTCTTCTTCCAAGGGCCTTTCCCATTGGAAGGCTGCGCCGCATTGTTCTGGCCACTAGGGCCTTCACCCCCGTTCTGCAAGTGACCCTTGGCGGCATTAAGGCAGGTGCGGACGCTCACGTCAAGATCAATGACAGTTGTCTTGAGCTCCTTGTACGTAGTGTACTGGTTCCTGCCCAGCACGAGCCTCTCGCGAAGCCACTGGGGTAAGCCTTCATAGAACGACGACATTGCCTCGTTCTCAGTGAGAGCGACTGTCAGGAGTAACAGAGTCCGTTCGAACTCGTTGGCATACTCCTGCACAGTGCGAGTTCCACACTGCATGCTCTTGATGCGGCTGCGCACCTCCAGGTCAGTCTTTTGCACATGGAAAGCGTCTTTCATCGCGCTGCAAAAATCGGACCACCTGAAGGTGGCCGACGTTGCCCCGGCAAGCTTCATAGTGCTGTAGACTGTGTTACGAGCAGTCTCATCGAGAGCACCTGTAGCAGCTATAACGCGTGCGTCCGGGTGCACGTTGTGGATGGAAAGGAATTCCTCCACATGATGAAGCCAGGATTCCACGTTCGTCTTGCCATGAATGAAGTTCGGCAAGGCAGTGGGGAGCGACCCAAATGCGGGTGCGTCAGGCGACATCGGCTGCTCTGTTGGAGCTCCGGCAGAAGTAGAAGGCTGCCCATTGCTAGGAGGGGGGCGATATATCGGCCTCCTCCTGAGCTCCCTATACTGCGCTTCCAGCGTCGTGCAAGTCGATTCGAGACTGATGCACGTAGCACTTAGCTGCTGCAGGGTGTCCTCAAGGCTCTTGATCTGGTTGTTCTTGAGGCCAAGAGACCTCTTAAACTGACGAGCCTCGGCAGTGACTTTGGTAAGCTGAGCCTGGATTGTTTCAATTGAAACTTTCTGCTCAGCAACTTGAGCCTCAAGCTCATTGACCCTGCGTTTCTGCTGCAGCAAGGAAGATGCTTGCTCGGCCACCGTGGATTGGAGTTTTTCAAACTCCTCCGGAAAGTTGTCATCCGTGCCGAGGTCATCAAGCCCTTCCTGCTCTCCATTCTCTTCCTGGTTTCCCAGGGCTTCTTCCTCTTCCTCAGGAAGATCCCCTATGACGTCCTCAGCATTAAGGTCAAGGTCCGGAAAGTCTTCCAGTTCATCTACTGAGGTCATAGGGACATCCTCCTTTGGTGGTTCCTCATGAGGAGTAGCCATAGAGGAGTTGTTAAGATGGAGCTTAAGAAGAGTGGTTCTTCTTTGTTAAGAAATATGATCTTAATAAGGGTCCTCTATCACTCAAGGTGATAGGCAAGAGATTCTGAAAATTTCCAGAAATCTTTTATATAGATCAATATTCTCACAAAGAGAAAGGTACAGAGAAAGAGTTGTTAAATAAGTCTTCTATTCCAATAAGGAAATAGAGAAAGTTCCCCAAACTGCTCAGAGAGCAAGTTAAGAGGAATCTTTTAACAAATCTCTTAGATCTGTACTCTGCTATTTAAAAAAATAGCTATGAGTCATCCACCAAGAAGGTGGGCAGAGAATAAATTCTCTTAAAGCTCAAAGAGCTTTTAGTAGGTCTTGGGATCCTTGAAGAAGATTTCTTGATCTTTGGAGTCTCTCAACTCTTCTTAAAAGAGCTTGACGCTATTCTAGATCTTGCCCACAAAAGGGTCTATAATAGACTTATAAAACGCCAACAAATAAAACACACACAAGGTAAACTAGCTCCTCTGATAGCTTGGAGTCTTGAAGACTTAGTAGTTGAAGCTTGGAGAGTGATAGAGTAGCTTCACCCAAAGGGGTAGTTGGAGCTTAGAGCACTTGTGAGGGAAAAGTCTTGTACTTAGAGAAAATATCCCATTTCCATTTTGGTTAATTGGAAGTTGGGAGTTGAGAATGAGCTTGGTTAGCTCAAACCCCTCCTAGACCTCCTTGGGGAGCTCCACTTCCTCCATGGCAACAAGGGCAAGGAGCTCCTAGGGGTGAGTTTGCTTAGGTGGCACAATGGTTGGATTTGCAACCAATGAGAGCAATAGAACTGTGATAAGAATGGTTTTGTAACATGCTGTAATTTGTAACAGCAATGCCCAAATGCTATTGGATTCCAACCAATGTGGAGGTTGGGTTGGTTCCCAACCATGATTGTCTTTTAGTGGTGGTGGTCCACAATTGTGGACCAATCACCATTCATCCCTTCCAACCTATCCTTCCCGTAAGTCGCTACCTTACGTAGGTAGCGTCTTAGAGAGCCGTAGCTAAGATAGTTGCTAAGGTAGATAGGGTATGCGTTACATCATCCCTGCTCTCCCCCCGTCTTCCCCTCTCTTTTCCCATCTTCCCCTCTCTCTTCCCATCTTCCCCTCTCTCTTCCCATCTTCCCCTCTCTCCCCCCATAATCCTTTCTCTCCCCATTTTCCCCTCTCTTCCCCCATCTTCCCCTCTCCCCCCATCTTCCGCTCTCTCCCCATCTTACCCTCTCACCCCCATCTTCCCCTCTCTCCCCATCTTACCCTCTCTCCCCCCATCTTCCCCTCTCTCCCCAGCTTACCCTCTCTCTCCCCAGCTTACCCTCTCTCTCCCCATCTTCCCCTCTCTCCCCCCATCTTCCTTTCTCTCCCCATCTTCCCCTCTCTCCACCCATCTTCCCCTCTCACCCCCATCTTCCCCTCTCTCCCCCCCACCGCCCCTCCCCACCCCAGCTCCCCTTCACATCCCTGCCGCGCTCTCTTGTTCTCCCCTTTTGCACCTACCCTCATCTCCGCTCCACTCACCCCTCGTTCCCCCTCTTCCCTTCCACCCCTCTTCCCCTTTTCTGACTCGACCCTCATCTCCCATCACGCATACCTCATCTTTCCCCTGCTCACGCCTCCTCTCCCTCCCCATCCACCCCTCATCTCCCTCCCCATCCACCCCTCATCTCCCTCCCCATCCACCCCTCATCTCCCTCCCCTCCCCTATCACCGCCTCCCCCATCGCCCCTCATCTTCCTCACCCCCTTCCCCTTCCGCACAATCTATCCACGTTCCATCCTCCTTGGCCCTCCCCTCAACTTTCCCCCACTCATCCTCGTCTGTCCCCATCCATTCACTCCTCGTTCCCCTCCACCTGTGTGACTGGTCTGGTAGGTGACTGCATGTGATATGATGTGACTGCTGCATGCAATGTGACTGCTGCAGTCATATATTTGTATTCCTTAACCCATGTTGCACTTTCCGTACAGAAACAATTCGCTGCGTTCCTGGTCTGAGTGACGCATGGCTACATGTAATTTGTCCAGCAGCAGGCCCTCTCTAGATACTGCTAGGAAACAACTGATTTATTTGAGTGATGCAGCCTACTTGTAACTTTGTACCCAGTGTTTTTTTATTGATCCCACTTTTTGGTGTGGCAGCAGCAATCAGCCTGCTGTGTGATTCTCTACACCCTGTTGGAGTAGTAAAAAAATAACATCTTGAAGTTCAGCAGAGCAAGAAGCAACATACGTACTGTAATGTAATGCTGAATGCAGGGTACTGGTTTACAGCTTTTCCATAATTGGAATAAGCTCACTTCCCATCCAAGATTGGAAGTACCATACTTTATAATTTAGTGAAACAAATGACCCAGAACGAATCGTGTACATGTATTAAAATCTATAGTGTTGGAAATCCGAGTACAGTATAACGAATACTGAATACCAGTGTGCTGTTTGGTTTTAGTGTAGTCCTCTTTATAAGCTTTCAGGTCCTATAATAATTCTCACAATTATTGTAGGGGCCACAATTATTGGAGTCCAGCATTATTGGAGGGTAGAGGGTACAATTATTGGTACACCATTATTGGTGTGAATGGGGTAATTCTGGAGGGGTAGCTGGATGCATATATACCCTGCTGTGTCACTTCTTCATTATCATTGAGTCATCATTGTGTCATCCTTCTACTTTTCAATGATCAATGCAAGATTTCTATCTTGTTCTTTTCTACAAACACATTTCCGCTACGCCGGCACTATGCCTTTCTAGCATGGTATCAGAGCTACTCTAGGGGGCATGCTGCCAAATTTAGTTTCGGAATTTACTGGCATTCACTTCGGATAGGTACCTGCATACAGTCAGAGTACCGCACACCCGGTCTACGCTTTCGTACACTTGGTGTTCGCTGTTGGTTACAACCGCGCGTTTACCGCACACTTGGTGGACGGTTTTGTCAAGGTCATGGCGCACTTCGATGACGAAGTGGATCCTGGATACACTGAACGAAATAATTGTCCTTATGGATTCGATATGTAGAGTAAGTGGCGTCCAATCGTAAAATAAACATGTATTCTATTGTACAAATTGCATACAGGGCTCGTGTCATGTGTTACTAGTTTGTATAGGCGCTCTCTAGCCTGTCAAACGATGGAGCTCTAACGAGTCAGCTTTTCTCTCTCGACACCCCATACGGACAAATCCTTCCAAAATGTCTCACGCATTATTTCGAGCGCAGTTAGATCTAGTTTCGTTAGGTACAGAGGCGATTACGGGCGTAGTCTACGATCTTACCTTAGTGCTATCTCCCCCGCAGCATGAAGTGCCTTAGTGTGGAGAAGCAGAAGCGCATCATGCAACTAATTCAAGAGGGGCGTAGTTGCCGCCAAATCGTTAAGGAGATGGGTGTTTCGAAGTCCGCCGTCCATGACGAGCTCCTCCGCCACGTCGGTCCGCAAACGTACGACGAGCTAGTGCCGTCACCGACGAAACTTGGTCGGCCGCGCAAGCTACCCGAGCAAATCGCGCAGATAGTCGTAAGGTCGATAGTTTTATGTGAATTGAAATCCGCCGAGGCAACCGCGGGAATGATTGCTTCTACACACGACATCAGTGTCACTGGCGTCACTGTTCGAAACACTCTCACGCGGCACAGAGTTAAGGCGATTGAAAAGCCATCTAAGCCTAGACTATCCGAGAAAAACATCAACGACCGCAGGCAGTGGGCCAAGGACCATTAGCACTGGACGATGGACGACTGGAAACGCGTCATTTGGAGCGATGAAACAAAGGTCTGCCGGTTTAGTAGCGACGGACGAAGTTGGGCCTGGATTAGACAGGACTGCCCCATGGAGCCGCACCATGTGAAACAGACCGTCAAGCATGGCGGCGGCTCCATCATGATTTGGGGGTGCATGACATACAACGGCGCGGGTTTTATGTGCAAGATAGAGGGAAGGATGAACGGGGAGTTGTACCGTTCAATCCTGCAAGACGGGCTTCAACATACTATCGAGCATTACGAGCTTAATCCCGAGGCAGTCGTGTTCCAGCATGACAACGACCCCAAGCATACGTGCAAGCTGGTCAAAAAGTACTTTGCAGAGCAGCCGTACTCTGTTCTCCCATGGCCCGCATCTAGTCCGGACCATAACCCCATAGAACACCTATGGGTTTACTTGAAGAAGCAGCTGGTTGCTTACTCCCGCCCACCTGTAGGCATTCTTGAGCTGTGGGACAGAATTCAAGTGGAATGGGAGAAAATCCCCGCGGCCTGGTGCAGTGAATTGATCGACATCATGCCCAGGCGTGTGCGCGCTGTGCTCAAGGCCAAGGGTCGCTGGACCAAGTACTAGATTCAGCCTGGTTTGCATGCGTGACTATATTTGTAAGAAACTGTCCATATGACACTGTTTGCCTAATTCCTTTCCTGCAGATTGCTGAGCCGAGTCAATGGCCATGTAACCTTGTGTTTCCATGTACAACCCTCCGGGTTTTAACCTTGTGGCGCCCTTTGATTAAGGCTTAAACACGGTAGCAACTAATGCACATTTTCCATCCATATATCTTGGCATGCGGACAATTATTTCGTTCAGTGTATGCGGCTTTTGAAGAAGCCATCATGACTCAGCATGAGCACCTGGAAAGCATGATTGCAAAGGCACCACCAGCACTCCAAGCTTCGTTAAGGGACAAGTTTGGAATGACAATCCAGCCAAGGACAAGTTTGCTCATGAGTCCAGCAATCCGTCCACCCGTGGACACTCTCATTCAAGCACTCCGCGTACTAACCAAAACCGTGCATCAAATGTTCATGCAGGAATTGATGGTGAATGGGAAATGAGCATACCTCAAGGAGGAGAGTCATCCCAAGAGAGGGATGCATCCGTCCAAGGAGAGGAGAGCGCCAATCCCGCACCTCAATCATCCATGCAAAGGGAAGCACGGGGGAGGCATGATGGGTATGGGAGTGCAGTGCATGGTGGAATGAGAAGTAGACAGATTGGGCAGCAGGGTGACGGAAATGGTCAAGTGGGCGTCGAAGGTGTGGGTTTTGCCTCCTACACTATTGGTGCTCCCCCACTACGACGACTTGCAACTAACTCCCATCCCATTGGAGTTCCTCCCATGGCCAGGGCTCACCTTCGTGGCGACAATGACATACCTCCACGTGCACCACGTCCACCGATAGGAGTACATCCCGTGGACAACATGGGACGGATGGGATACGGAATGCAGTCAAGTGGCGTCATGCGACGTGATCAAGTGGAGGTGCTGGAACGTCAACTTGGTGGACAGAATGGGGACATGCGGCGCACGGTACAGCTACCTCGACCGTCAACCGTGCCTACTCTCTTCGACCCCACTCCTCGTGAATACACGGACGAAGACAAGGAACGTCTGTCATGCAAAATGGTGGGAGCAACGGTGGACAAAGCGTTCACCACTACTCCGTTTGATGGCTCGAACTTCCGGGAGTGGGCGCTACGGTTTCGTATGAACGCTCGCGTCACGAATCTGTGGGAGTTCTTTGTGACCTTGCAGTACCCGGTTACTATGGGAGATGGTGACATTGACGACGCTATGGAGCGGCTGGAAATGCTACAGGCGGATTACTCACAGCGTGCGGCGCTCGCTTTTTGGGTCCTACTGCACAGTGTGAGCGCCACGATTCAGCTACAGCTGGACATGTTCCAGGAATCCTATAGCCCGGCATATGAAGCATGGGAGTACTTAATGGATACTTACCGGCCAAAGATTCGGTGGCGAAGGTCTTTCTCTTGAAACAGTTGGACAACCTAAAAATGGGGAGTCAAGAGAGGGTGGAGGAGTACGTGAACCGCGCAACAGCAATCCGGGACAAGTTAGCACTCGCGGGGAAGATGGTGGATGAGGACACATTCACCTTAAATCTACTCACCGGACTACCGGCGCATTGGGAGGAAATGAGGCACTCGGCAATGCTACACAACGTGACCGATAGCTTCACCTTGCAGCGGATGATGATTCAAGAGCAGAGGTATCACGACCTCATTACGAAGGATAACCGTGACCGGCGTCCACCTCGCATGGCTGGACAAGCACGTGGAGATCGCTCACCTTCTCCAACTGCTAAGGGCAGCACCAAGTACAAGGAAGAGTTCGCTGGGGAGAAAATGCAAGGCAAAGAAGGAAGTGCGGGTCACTCACCTCTTGTGTGTTGGTACTGCAAGGAGGTCGGCCACCCCTTCTTCAAGTGTACCAAGGCACCCCCTAGCTGGACATCACTAGGGTGGGAACCGCATACCCGCGGAAAGGCAAAACCGCACACCAGCAACAGCCGTTTGTTCTTCCCACGAAGGAGTGGCAGCCCCAAGCGTGACAACGATGTGTCAAAACAGCAAGGGGCAGCCGGGGAAGACAAGCAACGTACTGTTACATGCATTGCAACGGTGGGATTGTCACAAGCTACCTTACCACCAGCTAAAGCGTCATCGTGGTTGCTGGACAGTGGATGCAGCCAGCACATGACCTCGGACAAGCGCTGGTTTGAAGAGTTGAAGGAGCTGGACGAATCTGTATACGTGGAGCTTGCTGATGGGAGCCGACTGCACAGCACGATGACGGGAACGATCAGAGCAACGGCACCTGATGGGACAACAGTTCGGTACACTGACGTCCTCTACGTACCTGGCTTGAAGAGTAACCTGCTCTCCTATTGTCAGCTACTGAAAAAGGGAGCGCGCATCAATACCATTACTAATGGAGACACCGAGATCACCATGACAGATGGAGAGGAGTACATGCGGATTGGACTTGCCAAGAACGTGGATGGAGTGCTTGTGGTGCAGTATGCGCATGCACTTACATCCGCCCATGATCCTGGACATTCCAGTGATGATGCGTCATCGAATCAGGTTGATCGTGAAGG